TGTCTTAAAATACTAAACTATATGAAGCAGCATTTCCATGTTATGTACATTTTATATTCTAATTCTTTGAATTTGAGATATATGTGTCTATTTTTCTCTCAAGAGGCTCTTTGTTGAATCATAAATCCTATTTAATCCTTCTAAAATAATTGACTGCCCATAGCTATCTAACCCAATCTATCTAGCACCTGTGAGGTATTTTGGTTTACTTTATTTAATTTTATTAGAGATATTTAAGTATTAGACTTAATACCTAATCATTCATTAGACTGTTTTTCAGATAATCCAATTTTTACAAGAGTGTTCCAACTACAAAATAACTTTATTAAACTGCATATCTGTCTCTTTCCATCCCTTCTCCCCATTCTTTACTCCCACCCTGTCTTCCAGGTGAAAACCAGGAAGAGAAGTTAGGAGACTCCTTGCAAGATCTGTACAGGGCACTGGAGGAAGCCAATCTGTCACCAATAGGAGAACATCGCATTTCAACCAAGATGGAATACAAGCTATCATTTATAAAAAGATGTAATGATCCTGTGATGAATGAAAAACTGCACAGGCTGAGAATTCTTAAAAGCACTTTAAAGGTAAGGTATGAGCGGGGCAGATAAATTCCTATGGGCAGATTCATTCCTAACCGAAACTCGATTGTCGGATACTCTAAGTGGTACAACAAAACAGGGAGCTAGAGGACGGACAAGGTAAGCAGCATGAACCTGCAGCAGAGTGACAGGGAGGGGATTCTGTCAGGACTTTTGTGGAAGTCCTAAGTCACTGACTAAATGCGGCATGACTTAGTTTTAGGAGAAAGCAGGATGTGGTTAAGACTTTCCTCTCGAAAAGCAGGCTTGGTGCTATTCCTTAATCTTTTGCTTCCTTAGAAGTTCACCATGTCGTATATTTATCAAAGCTATTAAAGGCATATGGTGTGCATGTAGAATGTTTAAGCGCTTGAAATGTTTTGTGAATATTTCCTGCATACATTTCAACACATCTGGAGTGAAGGTTCCACATGAAATCATCATGTTCCACGTAGAGATTGAATAATTGTTCTGTTCATATGATCCGTTCCGAACACGCATATCACCTTCCCAATGTGTAGTTCTGTAAGAGCTTAACAATGTTTTCATTCTTCTTATGCCACACCTAGATTGGGAAGCAGGTGATAAGGACAGGGGAACAGAGGGGCAGAAGTTGAAGAAGGAGGTTGTATAGATGAGGAAAGGGCCTATCTTATAAATTACCTGAACAGGTCCTACATCACATAAGACTTATCATACAGAATGTGGAGCACAGTAATTCCAAAACACAGAATGTCAGAGGACTTCTTTGAGAAGTCTTTAAATCCACAGCATTCTCCTAAGAATATAATATTGGAATAGAGATGAGTACTAAATAGATAAATACAATAGAAAAAAATGATCATTTGAAACGTTTTCAAGTAATAATGGTCAAGGATTTCGAGTCAACTAACCCTATGGTATTTGTACAAATGCTGTTCCACAGAACAATTAATGAACCTTGATAGCTAATGCCACAATTCTAGGCAGAGTTATAATAGTCATAAGAGTAATTGTACTGACCAATTTTTTGTAATCAAAAGATATCCTCACCATCCTACCATTTTTTTGTTTTTGTCCTTTGTTGAATTTTTCCCTACAACTTATTCAAATCATACTTTTCCTCTCTTCCAATTCCTCCCAGATCCTTTTCTCTCTTCCAACTCCTCCCAGATCCTCCCTGCCCTGTTTCTCTCTGTCTCTGTGTGTGTGTCAAAAAGAAATTAATAAAAACTAAGAAATACACACAAAACAAAAACCAGACCTGAAACCAAAATATGCAAGCAAAAGACAAATAGACCAAAAGAAAGTCCAAGCAAAACAACATGAGATAAAAGGTCTGCAGAAATACTGGGTTCTTTTTATGTTTCTCGCCTCTTTGCCATATGTGAATATCTTAAATATCTGGTCCTTGTTTGCTGGCTGTCATCTCCCTCTCTCTCTCCCACTCCCTCCCTCTCTCCCTCTCTCACCTTCCTACTTCCTCTTCTCCTTCTCTCTTTTCTTATCTTTTATGCTCTGTAAATACTCTACAATATTTTTGTCCTGTGACAATAAATATGAATCACTATAAATGTTGGATTCGAGAAGAAAAAGTGAGTCACCAAATACACGGTGCTGTGTTTCACTCTTCTGCTCTTCTAAGACAAAGAAAGACAATGAAGAAAGTCACTAAAAGGAAATGTCCCTTGCTGGTTCAAAAATTGGGGGGATAGAAAGAACCCTGTACTTTGGGGCATGGAAAAGTGATAGGTTGTAAAATCTTCTGTTACAGAGAAATGCCTGAACAAACCCAAAAGTAGATCTCAGATCTCACCATAGGCAACTGCCAACATCATCAGTCCCATACCTATTAATCTCTTGTCTCCTCACTGGCCAAAGTGCTTCTTGGGCATACTATTGTCTTCTTTCCCTCCCAACTCTGGCAGAGGTGTGCTTTTTCCTGCAGAACATTTCCAGGATTCCCTTAGCCCTCTGTTTGAGCCATGAAAGATAAGACTGGTTTTCTCAAACTGTCCTAACCCTTTCTCCGTCTTACCTTCCACAGCAAAAATTCTCTTCTCCATTCCATACTTGTGCCTTTGAGAATTATACCCAAATGAAGCCTAGTCATCAGCTGAATCCCAGCCTATACTATGAAAGGGAAAGGCATTGTTCTTTATAGGGTCCCAGTGCTATGAGAAGGGATCTTCAATAGTCACAGGGCAAGAATTCTGGATTTGCAGCAACAGGGGGGCCCTGTTTACTCCCACTGGGGCATGAAGAGTTTACCATAAAGAAGGAAAAGCAGGACAAGTTCCAGAATAACTCAAGAGTTAGTGGTAAGTCCACCTGATGGCAGGGATGGGATGGTACAGAGACATAATAGAGAGAGAAAAGCTTCTTTTCGGATGTTTAAGGAAGGTTTGAAGAAATGAGAGACTTTTAAGCTGGGTCTTCCAACTTGAGGAAGGTTTCCTTAAAACATGAAGGTTTCCATTAGCAGAGATGGCAAATGGGAAAGGCCAAGAGTTAAAAGTTAATCATGGACAACAAACAAGCAAGGCAAGACATACCACTGAGTTAGAAAAAAAAAAGATGCACCATGATTTTCGTCTAGATAACTAAATATGAGCTTATCAAATCAGTTTCTTAGAGCCTTCTGAATTTATTGGCTCGTTGACTTGTTTGAAATTTTGATAAAAGTTCACCTATCTTAACTATTAAATTCTTTTGCTTTTCAGGCCAGAGAAGGGGAAGTAGCCATTATTGACAAGGTCCTAGACAATCCAGACTTGACATCTAAAGAATTCCAACAATGGAAGCAGATGTACCTCGACCTTTTCTTGGATGTCTGTCAAAGCACCACCTCAAATGACCCACTAAGTATTTCTTCTGAAGTAGATGTTATCTCTTCCTCTCTAACACATACTCACTCATACATTGAGACACATGTGTAAGTGCATTCTGACTCGAGGCCACCTAGTACCTGCTGGTACTCTGAACAGGTACATGAGGTAGTTTTTTATCAATGTGTTGGACACTTGAGAAGCTATACTTTAATGTTCCCAAACTCTATGAAACAAAGCATCCATGGTCACATTGCCGCTGTCTTTAATGAGCATTTGTATGTTTTATATGCGCTCAGTGCTCAGCTCGTGTTTACCATGTGCAAAATCAACTCTCTTTAATGACTTAAATTAACTTTTACAAAGAAGTCTGAATACAGGTGGTCTTCAGGTAGAAAAACCACAAAAAGGCAATTTTTCTACCTGAAGTCATCTTTTCTCCCTTAAGTTAATTTTCTATAAATGAGACTTCAAACATAAATCCCAATTTTTTCAGGTGCAGATATCCTTGTGGGTGGGAAAGAATTTAAACCTTTTTATATTTATTAAAATGTTCTAAGAATTTTCTTAAACATTGCACAAAGTTTAATGCTGTAGTTTTATTTTTGTGAAATGTAGGTGTGCATAAAAGAGTTTAGCAAACTAGAAGAGCGCCAACATAAGAAAGGTTCAGGCAGCTAATACCCGTCTTAATAGTCTAGTAACCTGTGCTGACTGGCTAATGGAGGCACTATTCCAAATCTAGGAGAGCACTGCATGGTGTATCAGGGCAAAGCTTTGTAAGATGTTTTTGTAACTAAGACCAAAATTGAAGATAGAGCTGCTTTATTTTCTTGGTTTAAATCTTCCTTTATTTTTGTAGTGACGAAATGCTGATTGTGTACAGAAGAATTTAAGAATGGATTTTTTAAAACAGACTTAACTCACCCAGAAAGGCAGCTAACAGCTATACATACATACATGCATACATGCATAGCATACATACATCTATATATATATACATATATATACATAATTTCAGCCCAAACTCGTGTTTTTTGAACTCTTGACTCTTAAAAGACAAAGTATACACTGAATTGAGTCCATTTTCCAGGCAGTTTCCAATTTTCCCTTGGTCTGTTAACTAAACTTCTGTAATTATACATCAGGCGGGGGAGTAAAATACATTTAGTCATAGCAAATGAAAGTTACAATAGAGAAATCAATGTGGAAAAATGTTAATGGACTTGTGTGCTAAGGAACGGAGAGTGCGGTCATTCAGGGAGTCATCACTCTGAGTGACCTGAGATCAAGCACTTAGAGGTTTCCCTATTCCTGACCTGTTTATACAGTGGGTGGAGTCTCTGGAAGCGTCCTCTTCATATATACGGCCATTTCCGTGTGTCCAGTTTTGGAAAGTGACCACAGCATGAAAGTGACTTGCTGCTTTTTAGTGTGTGGCTGCATAATGTACAAGTCACAATTCGCTGTTTTTCCAGGAGGGAGAGAGCCTCCTTTACTATTATTCTATATCCTAAAATCTACTTCTGATCAGCTTTCTCCTGTCGCCTGTACAGCTCAGTGAATGTACTTATATCTCTAAGAGTTCAAATATTTTTGCTGTAGAGAAGGAAGTAAAAGCTTCACAGCGGAATCTTTTTCTTTGCTTTTGAAATCACATTAAATCACTATCGTTTTGCAGACTTTGCACAACTGTACAGGAGAGTGGCCTTTCTACAGCACACTTTCAGTAATCCTATATTTACTCAAAATGGATGAGAAACCACGCATTAATGTTTGTATGGAATTTTGAGTCCAGTGTAATATTTTTATCATTTAAAAAAACCCTATTTGTAAAAACATTTATTTACTGCATGGTTATTGACACACATTAAATTTGTGGGATTTTGTGTATGTAAAAGAGAGAAAGAGCGAGAGAGAAAAAACAAACAAAAAAATCCCTCTTGTCCTAAAAAGAAGTGTGCTTGTTACAGTTGTTTAGGCATATTGATGTTTACTAGACCAATGTGTATCTTCACTTAAAAATATCTGTACATGATGGATGTGTCATATACAGTGGACAAAGGCCTGCGAACCACAAGCAGCTGGTGGGAAAGGAGCTCTGTTACTAGTAAGCAGCTTCTGCTTTTGTAAAGTCAGCTGTTGCTTTACTGGTAAAACTTAAACTAATGAATTTCACTAGACTCATGGCTAGCCTAGCATGAAAGAGACCTTTTAACACTATATATCTGTACATTTCCTTGCCTTAGTTTCGGGTCTAGGGGAGAGGCAGTACTGTAAACTGAAGTCAAAGAAATTCAGCCCCTAATAAATCCTTATAAAGCACCGACTTTATTCATACAGAGGGCTTACCGCAGTCCTCGGTGACATAATCACACAGCCACCCTCACTACCACCGCCCCACTTACAAGTTCTCACTTTGCCACCTCACTGACAGCCCAAGCCAGAAGTAACACCTGTTCACAGCTTACCAAGGTCTCCTATGAGACCTTGAAAACCCCAGCTAAGCTGTCTTTCCACTGGCCTGACATAACCATGTAGACTTCACCTACTCATTTTTTTCTGTGAGCCTTCAGGGACTGGAGGGAGTAAGCCACCAAAAATCAGCTAATTTTCATCTTACAAATGCAGCATTTTGTGGTTAAGGGTTGCTGAACTATGTCTAAACTAATAAGCTGCCTCCAGCCCGTGTAAAAGCAGATGGAAAAGGAACAGGAAAAAATTAACCAAGAGTACTTTCTCAAAGAAATGCTTTTTCTGAGATTTTTTCTCCTTCTCAGTTCCATATCGATATGAAACTGTTGGAGCAGAGCTCTACCCGTGGCCCTGACTGTAAAAGTCAGTCTCCTCTGTACAACCGTTCCGTGCTGTGTAAGCCGGGCACGCGCGTACACATTCACAATTCCATCAGGTAATACTGTCTTGTGGGACTATTACACCTGTTACAAGCAACAATTTTCTGTGGTTTGCATGTAACTAATTGTACATTTTTAGAAGGGAGACATGAAAGTAATCACAGGCACCTGGAAAACAGTTTAGGGAGGGAGATAAGGTTCTATTTTACTTGCAAAAGTCCACCTTTAGCACAGGGTGAGTTTGTCTGAAAACTCTTCATTTAACTACAGCTGATTCATATTGCGTTTGACCATTCCTGACCACCATTTCCAGTTGAAGGGGATAGTTATTCTTTGGCTAAAGTCACGTTTGCCTCCTTACCCTTCAGAACTGCTCTATCAGAGTCCCAATCTTGGGGGGGGGGACTCTTCTCTGCTGGCAAGGTCAAGGACAGCTTTCTCTTGGGTCCTCTGAGGACTGGAATCACCTGTTCAACCCAACACTAAATCTAGTGCCTCCCCAGGCTCTCCCTCCCTTGTCTCCTCCCCACACTCCGCCAGCTGCAGCACTGCACACCGAAGGCCACTCCAAGCCCAGGGCAATACACAGCCTATGTCTTCCCAACGGTCCAGGTCAAGGTCATAGCCCACAACGTTACGGGTTGGCACCTGGCGTGAATCCCGCCACTTGAGACCGCCCAGTAGCAGCACAGTCTCTTCTACCACAGCAAGTCCATAGCAGAAACGATCGTAGGGTAGTGACCGCAACCGAGTCCACTGGTCTGTGTTGGGGTCATAGCGTTCAATCTCAGAGAAGGGCTCGTATCTTCCCAAAAAGGCAAACACTGCGCCTCTCAACACCGCAAGGTAATGCCCATAGCGAGCTGTGCCCATGGGTGCCCTCTTCCTCCATGCCCTTTCTCCGGGGCTAAGGGAATACATATCCCGGAGGCTACTTGTGCCTCCTTCACCTCTCCCAGCCTTGCCCCCAGAGATGTACACGACACCGTGGTCTCCAACGGCACCTGCGTGACCGTGCAGTGCCCGCGGCAGCTCCCCAGCTGCCACCCAGCGGTCCCTGCGCAGATCGTACATCTCCACTGAGGCCAGTGCTTCGCCACAGGAGCCCAAACCCCCAACAGCCAGGAGATTGTCACCTACCACTCCACACCAGAAATAGGCCCGTGCTTCTCGCATGGCGGGCACCTCTGTCCAAGTGTGGAAGCGCGGGTCATAACGATGCACTGAGGCTGTGACAAACCTTGGGCCATCTGCCAGGGAGCTAGGTGGACTACCAGAAAGGCTCTCCCCTCCGAGGACAAATAGGAAGTTGCCCATGGCACATACACTGTGGCCTAGCAGCGGTGCCGGCAGCCGCGTCAGGCTGCGCCAGCTGTGGTTGTACACGTCAAAGGACACCACATCCTGGGTGAGCTCCCACTCCTCCTCCTTCATCTCTTCTTCCTCCTCTTCCTCCTCTTCCTCCGGTTCAGGTGCAGGGTGTCGATTCCTAACTACCTCTGGTAGGACCACAATTTCTTCAGTAACAGTCTCCCTCGCTCTAAGACCACCAACCAGTAAGATGCGTGTCTGGGGACTCCGGATACTAGTCTGTTCTCCCTGCAGGAGCGGCTGGCGAGAAGGTGCTGTGTGGTAATTGAGGGCCTGGATGATGAGGCCCTTGATCCGAGTAGGTAAAGTAAGACCAGAGCCTGAGTACACGCGCCTCAACACGCCCGCAGGCACCAAGCCAAAGCGGATACATCCAAGCAGTGTTGAACTGTGTGCCAGGCGCTGGGTCGCAGGCTCCTGCCTCAGCCAGGCTAGTGCCAGGCCCAGCAGCTGCGTCTCAGCCACCCGTGCCACATCAGGGGCACCCAGCACAACTTTCATCGATATAGGGTTGAGTTCCAGCAGTCCCGAGGGGCCAGCGCCCATCAGTAGCAGCTCCCGCAGGTGGCGCACAATACAGCGCTCAGCTGCACCAAGGGTGTGAGCCAGGCCAAAGCGAGCAGCCACATTGGCAGTGAAGCAGCAATTCTCTGGGGCAAGCTGACGTTCCAGGTAGTGGCCACACAGCCCCAAGGCCTCCGTGACTTGCAGGTAGCTGGCAGCCTCCAGAGTGTCCTCCACGGTGTCCATGGAGAGGGGCAGCCAGGCAGTGTAGATAAAGTCCAGCAGACGCTGCAGGCCGGTCGCTGATGGCACGTGCAGGTGAATTACATGAGCCTGTGATTCCTGAGTGTGACTCTTGAACAGGGCCCTGAAGTAGTCGCTGGAGCATGCCAGAAGTGACCTGTGCGCTGGGAACTCACTGCCCCCGACCTCCAGTATCACGTCGCACAAGAAGCCTTCAGCACGTAGGGCCTGGTAGCCCGTGAGAAGAGAGCTGCCGTGAGCTTTGCAGTAAGACAGGAAGTAACTCATGATGCCCAAGGCGGGAAGCTGGAATGGAGCCAGCCCGGCGCGGCTGGAGGCATCCTGCAGCACCGACACCCCCCCTCCCGCTGTCCAGCAGCAGAGCCCCCTAGCAAAGGCCGATTTTTGCCTGCTCTGCTTAAAATGTAGGGTTTCTTCATCCAGATCTGGCAGTTGTTCTGTGCCCGTCTCAAACAACGAATGATCTAGAGAGAATTTCCAGAAGTCTCTAGTAGCAGAAGTTGTGAATTTCAGAGCCGTCTCGGTATTGCTAGGCTTGCATTCAGCTGCTGCTGCTGCATGGCAGCGCGTTGCCTAAAGCCCCCTCCCCGGCACAATTTGGGGAGCCCACACATGCACGCCAGGGGCGGCGGGCGGTGGCCGCGCACCATCACCTGAAGAGGTCGATCTGACAGTGCACCAGAGAGAGTACCTGTTCTCCAACAGGGCAAATGCGTGGATATGGCCCTATTGTGGGTGCCCCGGGAGTGCAGGATGATGGCTCTGAATTCCCGGCCATGGAGCAGAAGGACCTGTTCTGTGGACACCCGTGCAGTCCGAAGACAACTGGCTAGGGGGCTGGGGGTGAGCTTGTTCCGAGAGGAGGATCAAATCAAAGCCTGTGGCACTGGGGGGAGCGCAGGTCAGCGTAGAGGGTTGGGAGCGTGATTGCGCGCTGCACATAACATGCCCGTAGCTCACAGGGACAGGAATAGTGCTCGCCTTGGCTTACTGGCGCGCGGGCTACCCGCCCCGCCCTGCGCCTCAGCTGCTGGCTGCTAATCAGGAGCCCAGCAGGAAGCTTCCTGAGCCAGGGCACTGACCTCTGTGACCCGAATGGCCTTTGGTCACCACGGGGAGCCGGAGGGTCCCCTGGAACACTGACGAAGGGCCCAAGTCCCTTGGGACTCTCAGCCTGATGTGTTGGGAGGTGTGCTTGACTGAGCGGGAGGACTGGAGACCTCTTGTTGCCCCAATGACTGAGAAAGAAGCTCCAGGCTTAACTTTTGGCTTTGAATATGTCCTAATTAGTAGGGAGCAAGCGGGATTAAGCGGCGATTTTGTGCTCTGACACCTAAGTGAAGGCCTCTCTGCTCAGAGAACAGAGTTAAGTCAGAGGGAACCCAAGCTCTGGGTCAGATTTGTTTGTATGCCCCTCACCTGCACTCACCCGTGTGAGATTCAGGGGCGTGTGCCTTTTCTAAAGCGAGTGGAATCTCCCAAGCTGCCTTGTTTCACTTTCCACAGAATTTGCTCCCTCCCCCACCCCACCCCCATCCCTGCCATCGGACCCCAGAGGAGATTTCTTTTGGTATTCTTGTGGAACCCATCTCTTTGCAACATGAAGAAAGAAGTTGTGACTAACTTGAGTTGTTTGTCTTTGAGTGGCAACGCCTCAAAAAAAAAAAAAAAAGAAAACCTTCTAGTGTTCTCTGGTTTTCCAGGCTGTGATCTAAAGACTGGCTGCTGCGTCCTCAGTGTCATGACAAGATAAGGGGCAGTATAGTGGCAAAACTCAGGAGAGCTGTGCTTTCTAGGGTCCCTCCCCACAAAGTTATTTTTATAGGAAACATCCAGTGTAGAAGCGTGACTGTCCACCACCCACATCCTGCTCTCACACTACAAACTCATTAAGTGCTTTCTTGCCAATTTGGAGGCTTCTGTTTCCTTTTGCTTTCAGCTACCCTTCCTTTGCCCACCTTTCGGAAGCAACTCTGCCCCCTAGCAGTCTGTTCTAGATGAGTCTTTCAGACAAAGTTGTATTTCGTAGAAGATTTGAAGGATAAAACTCTGTTGTTTCCTACTTGATCAGCCATCAGTACTTATAAAGTATCCGATTACATGCAATTCTTTAATTACATAAAATATTAGTAAAAATTCAATGGGGCTGAAGAGATAGTTCAGCACTTAAGAGTACTTGCTGCTTGTTCTTGCAGTGGTCACGGGTCCGGTTCCCAGAACCCACATGGTGGCTCACATCCGTTTGTAACTCCAGTTGCAGAGAATCCAACACATTCTTCTGGCCTCGGTGCAGGCACACACGTGGTGCAAAGACATGCATCCAGGCAAAAACACTCATACATCTAAAATAAAAATAAACCTTTTAAAAAGTGATTTTGCTGCCAAAGATAGAATTGAGTTATAACTTAAATTGCCAAATTATAGAGTGTAGGTAGGGGCGGGGGTTGTACTCCCTTAACTCTAAAAATGTTCCAACCGAAATTTCTAACATTAGCGGTATAAATGATTCCGGGGAGAGTGTTGTTCCTATGGAGATGAAAGACACTCTTAAAATGCTTGGTTCAGAAGGGAAACATAAACTGGGTGTGGCATCACATGCCTTTAGTCTCACCCAACACTCAGGAGGTAGAGGCAGGTGGATATAGGAGTTTGAGGCCAGCCTGGTCAACAGAGCAAGTTCCAGGCCAGCCAATGCTGCACAGTGAGACCCTGTCTCAAAAAAAAAAAAAAAACCTATTTTTAAAAGTTAACTATTGCTACAATTCGTTTTACACAACTCTCCATTTTAAATCTAAATGCCCTTCACTCAACCTAATTAAATTTTGCTAGACGGAATTTGGGGTCTTATTAAGCCAAACTTTGGCCCAGTCCCCCAAAATCACATTTTTCTGTTTTATACAAATATGCCAAATGAGCTCCAGACAGAGTATGGTTTGTCTGAATGCCTTGAATATTGAGTTATAGAGTTTGGCCAGGAATCCAGGGTTCTTTTCCTACTATATATTATGTGACCACGTGTATAATAAAATCAAATTGTGCAACACACTTTATTTAAAAGGTGATAAAGTGCCATTTTAGTAATTTAAGAAAACTTGAGTGTGGTTTTTTGAGCAGCACATTGTTCACACCTGTGTTAATTCACATCCATCAGAGCTGCCCATCACTGTACTTTTGTATTCAAGATGTCACATTACAAAGCAAAGATGACTGTGGAAAAATCTGAAACTCTTAACATCAAAAGGTGTTTACCGCTGGCCCAATGTGACATATTTTGCCAGTGCAGAGGTGATGGCGTGTGATAACTGAAGACATTTTTACATTATGTGTGCTTGTAAGACCTTGTTTAGAAAATGTAACTGTCAACCCAAGAACATCATTGTCATTTGAGTAATGGTTATGTAGTGTTAGTATTTTTATTTCTGTGCAATATTAAATAATATTAAATAAACAATTTAGTCTCTCTGTGTTTAAACTGTGGTAGATGTGTGTCTTAAATTTATATCTTGGTCCATTCCTTAAACGGGATACTGTATAAACAAAAGAAAGTCATTGTTCATAGTTCTAGAAGCGGGAAGTCAACGTTCAAGGCACTAGCACATTCAGTGTCTAGTGAAGACTCTCTACTGTGTAAAGATGGTGCTTTCTCGCTGTGTCTTACATAGCAGAAAGACAGCAGGCATTAATCCTATCACCAAGGCAGAGCCCAGTGACCTACTCACTCCCCAGAGGCCAACATTCTCAAAGGTCTTACACTGGCTATTAACTTTCCACATGTGAATTCTGGGAGGACACATACATTCTGACCAAAACAATAGGGTTTCCCAGAAGCCTGCCTTGTAATCCAACGGTGGCGACTGGCTCTGGTAGGATATAGATGTGGTCATTCTGTTGGAAATGATCTCCTTATGAGTTGTCCTCCCCCTACTAGATTATCAATTCCTCAGAGTAGGGGCTGTTTCTGCAGCCTTGTCTTGGTCATTGCTACAAGAAGTGTTGTGTTAAACAAATGAAATAATGAAGGAGAAAGTCTTGTGTTTCTCCTTTTTACACAGCTGGGGTAAGACACATACAAGTAAGGCCATAGGAAACAAAAGGGTGACCATACGTGACTCTAACTATGGCGTCTGGGTGAACTCGACCCTTCTGAAAAGGAATTAATACCCTGTCCACCATCTACTGCTACTCTGTGACTCCAGCTCTTTGACAAGGCCATGCCTCCGTGGCTCTCACATGCAGTCACATGCATGATTGCCCACCCAACTCAGACACCGGGTGCCCTAAAGACACTAGCAGTAGCCCGTGATCCATCTGGTGTGGTTGAGCTTCTGCTAAGTGCCTAGCTCCTCACCCCAGTATGCCCGTTGGAACTTTAATATCTTCTCTGAACCCTTCACCAAGAGTCAGGCCTGTGAACTGCTGTTACTGATCCCCTCCTCCCACCCTCATCTCTGTAAGAAAGCATAGAACTAAATCTCTTACAAGCAGCCTTCTCAACCCCACATCAGAGCTGCAATGCTACTTACCCGGAGCCCTCTACCTGCCCTAAATAGACCTGTTAGAACAAAATATAAATTCCAAAGTTCTCATCTCTAAAATATTCCATATACAATAGACACTGCAAATGTTTTACTCACTTGAGGCTGAGTAGATGTCTCAGCCTGTAAAGTGTTTGAAACACACACATGAGAACCCAAGTTTAGGGCCTCAACATCCACATCCAAAACTAGGCCTGTTGATTTGTTCCTGAAATCATAGTGATGGGAATGTCACAACAAAAGGATCTCTTGAGCTCACTAACCGGCTAGTCTTTCTGAATTGGTGAGCCCCGGGTTCAGTGAGAGACCCTGTCTCTAACTTGACATCAACCTCCGGCCTCCACACACATATATGTGCACATACATACCTGCATGAACACATGCACACACCACACACCAAAAAATGTTATAAAAATTGTGAATTTTGGTAGCAAATTTCAGATATAATTAAGGTATTTTTATAATTAATATATAAAACACCATTTCATGCATGTAAAGGTTACCAAAGGCAGGGCATCTCTTTCTCATCTACCATTACTGGTTCCTTTCAATCCAAATATCTTCCTTCCAACACATGGTTCCTGGCAACCTCTATGGAAAACCTATTATTAGAAACTGACACATTAAGTTTCTCGTGAAAAGACAATAACAAGCAGAAACACACATCCCACCACTCCCACATCACCATCACCTTTTTTCCTGAGACTATCTGTGTATCTATGGAATACATTTTATCTCTGTGATACGCAATTTCAAGGGAATAAAAGTGTGTGTGTGTGTGTGTGTGTGTGTGTGTGTGTGTGAGAGAGAGAGAGAGAGAGAGAGAGAGAGAGAGAGAGAGAGAGAGAGA